ATATCTTATGGTCCACAAGGAGGAGAAAATGCTAAAATGTCACAGAGGATTGCTACGTGCAGAACCACTGGTCTCTACACAGCAAGTAACCCCTCCCGTCCCACCCTGAGCAGGGCATGGATGCGTTCCCGATGTGCCAAGCGGAGGGCACAGGCACAGCCGGCTCCTCCGGCTCCTTCCTTGTGGGACAGAGGCACCTAGTGGCTGAGCGCTGAAAGCTCGGCGACAGCCGCCACACTCCGATCAAGGATGTGTTTGTAGCTGCAGTGGGATGCTGCCGCTGGTGCCGACACGCAGACAGGTTGCTACAAAGCTGTTCGGCTGCTAGCTGCTCTGCCCAGGTTCGCATGCCATAAAGCAAAATATAAACACATGGCACCTGGCCCAGTATTCCAGAGCAAGCCCTCCCAGAGGCCAGGCTGTGCTGGATGCCCGGGCAGTGTGCTAGGGAACACACACACCCAGCTGCCAAACTCTCCAGGAGTGGCAGTGAGGCTCGGCCCCTCCCTGTGCCTTTGTGCTTGACAGCCTCCAACAGCGCAGCTCCATGGATAACCTTCACCTCTGAGAGCTGCTGCAGCTGATGTCTGCTAGCTTTGAGAGCCTGTGGGTCACTGAACCCTGCTCATACTCATGGCACTGTTCCATGGCTTTACAGACACCCACTACAGCCCTTTCCAGGTACCTCTTTTCCAGCCTGAATAGTCCTGGCCTAGCTACTCAGTCCTTGCACCCAAGTCATTGCACACAGGCAATGATCTCTCTTTTGGCCTTGTTAGTCCTATGACTTGTACCTCCTCCTTCTAGTTTTCTGTCTTGTTTGAGGTGAGATCAGGACATAACACAGTATGTGAGATGCAGGTGAGCCACAGACACATCTAACAGCATTCCTAGTTTTGTGCTCTTTTCCCTTCCCCTCCCTTCCCGCTTTTAATTTTTTTTTCTTTTGCCTTGTGAGCAGTGTTTTCACAGAAATACCTACACAGCTCTGAGTGGGAACCACTAGCTCAAAGCTCCCCACTGTGTCTGTGCATGGAGTCAGAATTCTCTGTACTGAATGCTTGGCTTAATAACCTGGCCACAATAAGTGCAGGCAGGATACAGGTAAGCTCTGCTCCCCAGAAATACTATCAATAGAATCAACTAGAACAGGTCAAATTCTGTGACCAACACTTAGCCTTTGAGCTCTTCACACAAGCTGCTAAAAGAAAAACTACCAATGCCATCCGTAAAGAGGAAAAAATACAGTAAAATAAAACGCTTTTCCCTTCTCCTGGATATCCCTCTGAAAGGAAAAAAAAAATCCACTCATAATGCTAAGATATAACACTTGCCACACCTTCCAAATCCAAGCTACTTAGCTTCAGAATGGCATTAATATCTTCAATTTCTTGATGTAAGTTTGCATTTTTACTGAGATTGAATATGGGGAGCTGTGGCTCTAATATTAAAGAATGGCAAAGTTTCCAGAGTTATCTCTAGTTTACACAGAGCACCATGGCAGAAAAAATATCTGATATTCAAAACTGTTATTTAAAATGAAGAAAAGGGCATCTTTGATTTTGATCTTTTGTATGTCCTAGGACACTTTGGACATCAATCTTAGGTATACAGTATCTTCAGCCATGCTGCTGCTGCTGAATAAATAATGTGTAAGAGAGGCTAATGAATACAGCTGGGAAGCTTCTCACTTTTACTCTGTGCTGTCTGAAAGAGAAACACAAAGAAGCCAACACCAAAAAGAAACAAACCAAAGCAGAGATGGGGAGATAAATGCCACAACTTGGATTGCATCTCTTAAATGTCCACAAAAATCTTGTCTTGCAGTAGTTCTGTAAGGTAGTATTCTGCTGAGACATCCCTTGGGCAATTTTTCAGCAGATGAAACCCCTCTCACCGCCCAAGTACTTTGCCAGTACATTTTCCCAGGACATTCTCACACTCCTTGAGGATAGCCATGCTTTGTGGAGCACTTCCACACAGCCTCTCAAATTCCTTTTTCTAGCTGACAAGGCTACAAAGGACACTGTACCCTTGCTGACTGCCCTCCCTGACATACAGCATGCAACTGCAAAGGAGAACAAGCAACCCTCACGTTTGCTATTGTGGGGTTTCCATGCCAAGCCCATCTGGCTCACAGCATGGAGCCTGCTGCGTGAGGCTGCTCTGACCCTGAGAGGAGGCTGTGGAGGCAGGGCAGATGGCAAAGCACCATTTTGGAAAGGCCACTTGTAAGTCTGCATCCACTCTGCCCACACTGGGCACCTGCTGCATGGAGATTCGCTGCAGGTGAGATTACAGAACTGATGGATGCCTAGAGGCAGGGAAGGACAGTCTCCAGCAGGAGACAGCTCCTCTCAGGAAGGAGATGTTTCTGTATGCCCTCAGGCAGGATGCCATGTAGTATGCAAGCAGCTGTAACATCTGTCAGAGATTTTGGTTTCATATCCTCGCTGGAATGAGGAGGGAGCAGACACCCAGGCACGCTGAGGTTTTCTTCAATGAGGACTGTGAAACATCCATTTCATTCACATAATCCACAGATATGCTACAGTTGGGACCACCAACAGCCAGGATTCTTATGTTGCTAAAAGTTAGTAAGGATTTGTCTTTTAGACAATGTTGTGGAGCAGAAAGTATTATATCCTTTAGTTTTGTCACAGGTAGAAAGATGTGGGGACATCCATTCAACCATTGATTGCAAGTCACTTCAGAGACAGATTTTGTGGGGCTAACTGTAATGGGACTGCCAGGAAGGCTACTAGAGATTTTTTTCTCACCATTTTCCCTGTGCTCTCACAGCTGCATCCACACACAATTCCTCTCTAGATGTGTTCTGAACAGGTCTGCAGTAACAGCTTTTAATTTTTTGGTTTTTTCAGAGAACGCAGCGTGATCCTTTCCAGACAAAGCAAACAACCAGGCCCACCAAACAGCCCAAAGGGACTGGGATTACAAGAACACAGAAGCAGCTTTCCTCTCAAGATCACTCCCTTCTTTCATTCCCCATTCTGCACGGGCAGGTTACTAAGGATGAATCATGAGTCTCTTCCTTGGGCTCTGAGTGACAGCTGCAGCCTGGATTTCTGAGTTCATCCTGGGCAGCATCAAAGCCAAAGTGACCATGACCAATTAGAAAATAATATACTGAAACATAACTCCCTGGCAGGATAATTTGGGAGAACCATCTTTGTCTTTAAGTGATCAGGAAAAAAAAATAATGTGAGGAATCAAAGAAAGATTCAGAAGCTGAAATGCTGTGCTTTATGCTGGAAGTTAATACTGAACTGTGCCTGAGGGAGGGAGGGCAGTGAATACTGCTTTGACCTGCAGATGGAAGACCATAATATAGGGCTGTGGATTTGGCCTTAAGCAGAAGACTCCACATTATTTTTTGCTGATGCTAGAGCCGCCTCCCTGAATACTAAACTGCAGTCCATCTCCCTGCCTTGAATGCAAGGCAATGTTTACGTGATTGAAATTCACTAAACAAGCAACAGCTGAGTGAAAAACGAACTGAAAGCAAACATAATTGCAATTCCCTCTTTTATGCTTGTTTCTTGCCATATCGTGAAATAATTTACTTTTTTTCTTTAAGGTCTAATTTTATTGATTGTAATAAAGAATGGACATATGGACAGAAAACTAGAATCCTTACATAATACAACTGTCACAGACATGAATGCAGCAGCCTAATAGATTCTCAGGATGTTTGCAGTCACCAGCGTGTAAACTCTTAGAGCAACAGTTTCCCCTAAACCCACCCAGATGGATTCAGCTCCTACAAGGGGCAGTGTCAACTGCACTTAGACCTTGACAAGCCACTAAAAGCTTCAAGTTCAGCCACATCCCTTTGTGCTTCCCTAACAGAGACACACATGCAAGCCTGCAGTGCTAGAAGTGCTGGGGAGCCCCAAAGCTGCACCTGTCACACACTTCAGCAAACCATACCTCAAGCAGGGACATCACAACTCATCCCAGGTCCATGGGGTCAGAAGAAAGGGAGCTGGGCACAGTGTTACACCAAGCAGCAAGGCCTGGATTGAGGAACACAGCACACAAGGACGTGTGAGCCCAATGAATGCTACCTGGCAGCACAAAGGACATTGTTCATGGGTGGCTGCACAGGGCACACTGCCCCATGACAACACCAAGGAGACCCCCAGCAGCATGGCAGCACAGTTATGCTGCACTTGGGAGGAAAAGCACTCCTCAGGTCTAAGGAGTGCTAAGGACTCATGGGGACCTAACCTCTTCATGAGGAAGATGTAGCTCAGCCAGCATAGGTGAGATGCAGCAGCTCAGCAAGGTACAGCAAAGAAGAGCCCCTGTGCCCCATCCAGGCTGGGTCCACCCCAAGTGAGGAAATCCTGCTCAGCTCATTTTCCTTGGGCTGACCTTCTGTCAGCACCAGCTTATCCCCAAACCCATGGGGTGCCCATGCACTCCAGGCTGGTGTGAGGGGCCCCTCATCCCACAGGGCCTCCAAGCTCCACACAGCCAACTGAACCAAACCCCACAGGGACCCCTGAATGGGACTACACACCACAGGGCCACCTGTAAGGGGCCCAAAATCTCACAGGGCTCCCAAAGCCAGACAGTGACAATTACCCTCAGCCCTACAGTGTCCCAAGCCCCACAAGACCAGCTGCGAGCGACCTTACATTCCGAAGGGCTGCCTAAAGCACAGAGACCCAGCAGCAGAGGGACTCTAACCCCACAGGGCCAGCTGCACCCGGCCCCTCGATGATCAGCTGCATGAAACCCTGCATGATCAGCTGCAAGGGACCTCAGCTCCACAGGGCTCTCTAAAGCAGACACAACCTGGAGCAATAAGCTATGACCCCATAGCATCGGCCGGACTGCACCCCCGGCCCCCTCAGCGCCGGCGGCAGCAGCCGCGGGCCCCGAGCCCGCCCCTGGCGCGGGAAAGAGCGAGCGGCGGCAGCGGCGCCTTCCGGGGCGGAGCCGGGGCGGGCCTGGCCGAGCCGAGCCGAGCCGAGCCGAGCGGGACGATGATGGCGCAGCGGGCACTGCCGAACCCCTACGCGGACTATGACAAGTCCTTGGCCACCAGCTACTTCGACGCGGCCGGGCGGGTGAGCGGGGCTGGGGCGAGGAGGCTCTGCCGCGGGGATCTGCCCCCAGGCCGTGTAGAGCTGACACCTGTCTGGTTCCAAACGCGGTTCCCCGGGGCTGCCCGGTGTACCGATGCCCACCCGCGTTGCCTTCATGTTTGGTGGGTTTTGTCTCCACAGCTGACCCCCGAATTCACGCAGCGGTTGAATAACAAAATCAGGGAGCTGCTGCAGCAGATGGAGAAGGGCCTCAAGTCCGCCGACCCGCATGACTGCACCGCGTACACTGGCTGGACAGGTAGGGTCGGACCCAGGGAGCAGGAGCTGCCTGGAGCTCACCTCTAGATCAGGTCCTGGCAGACCCTGGCGTTTGGCCATTGGAATTGTCACGGTAGATCCACGTCAAGAATGGCTCTTGTTCTGCATGTTTTAGTCCATTAGAACAAGGGGATGTCTTTCTCTGGACTCCCCATTTTTGAGGCAGGTTTTATGCTGCAGAGGGAAGATCACAGTGTCACAGGGCAGGACTGGGTCTAGTCTCGGTTAATAGCACTGGACTTACACCACGGAGAAAGCCAGCACTTGTTTGAGAGTAGGCATGGGAGCCTTCAAAGGGACATGCTCCAAATCTAGCCATGGTGGTGATGATCACAACAGAACCAGTGCTTCATCCGCTGCTCCATGAAGTACGCAGGTGTACACGCTAAGTCATTTACCTGCAAGGAGCCCTTGCATCTGGCAGCAGTGAGCTTAATGGCCTGAGATAATGTCTGTCTTTTCTGTTCGGGCTGTAATTTATCTGATGACCTTGTCTGATTGGAAGATTGCTCCATTCCTATTCCCCAGGTAGTGCCACTCCACTTAGTGAGCGCTAGCTTTGCTCCAGTTCCTGCCAGAAGGAGCAGAAATACTAATGTGAGTATAACAAGGTGTGGAAGCCTTCCTCATACTAACTTGTTTGCAAAGCTTCCAAGAGCTTGTCTTTCTCCTATTCTGCATTTTCAACCTGGTTTTCTTCCTTGGAAGTCTGCCCTGCCTTTGCCTCCCTGTTTCTGCCCACTGGTGCCAGGGAGGACACACCTTTCTGTGTGCCCGAACTTCAGCTGCTGCTGTGTGCTTTCACATCTTTCCTGCCTTCTGTGCTGTGCCACACCCTATTCAGAGACCCTAGGGTAGTTGAAATCAATCTCATGCTTGCTGCAAGATTTTTTTGGTGCTGCTGCTTTTCTTTTTGCAGTATACTGCAATAATAAATGGCAACTTTCTACAGTACAATCTGGGTGTGGCTGGCTTGTGTGTGGGTGCTGTGGAACTTAATGCCAACAGTTTGCTTATGAGAGTGGTGTTCAGTGTGTTGGTGCTAAACTAACGTTGCAGCTTGATGACAGCAGTGCTAGAAATGCCTGTTTCAAAATTTTAGTAAGGCAGACAGGCACTGAGAGCACTGAAGAGCAGTTCATAAGAAATGCTAGGATGCCAGTATTAAATTCCAGCGTGGGAGAACATTGATTTCATCAGCTGCTGTCTTGGCAGCACTCTGCTGCTGCTGCCAGTGAATTTATACATTTCTGCTGAGTGCTGGCTGATTTCACCTTGGCAGACATGTTCAGTTTTCCAGTTTGTGTGACCCTGCGCTGGGGTCCCCTCTGATGAGAAGAACTGCTATGGTAAGGGTGGTCTTCAGTGATGATTACAGTCTGCCTCTGGCCAGAAAATTCAGGAGACAAAGCAGGAGGATAGTTGATGTTAGGAGTACTCATGTTAGGATTACTCTTGGGGAGAAGGAAAACACTTTTCCCCAGAGGCCGTGTTCCTTTTCTGAAGGTGCTCCTAAGGTACTTTGTGTTGGAAAGAGACTGCAGTTATGAAACAGTGGCTGAGAGCTCTGGTTCAGGATTTCAGCTTGCTTTCACTTGGAAGGGAGTTTCTCAAGAGGGATTCTTCTTTTTTCTTCCCAGAGATCATTCCTCAATGGGCATACAGCCTTCTTGCCTTGGCTAATAGAAAAAAATCCATGGGCAGATTTCCTGGAAGTCGCAGCCAGCATGGTGAAGTTTACAGATGTTACACTATAACTTTGTCACCCTACCTTCTTTTCCAATTCTAGCTATATTAATTTATTCAGAGGTGGTTTCCAGAGACAAAATTAATTGGGCCAAGACAGCAGCTTTTTCCTGTAATTGCTTGTGTAGGAAAGGCTTGTTGAGTATCTCCTCATGTGAATCATTGCCCAGCAGTCTGAAATCAACCCTCACTCTCGTGGCCACTAATAAGGGAGATTTGAAATATGGCTCTCTTGGCACAAACTCTGTGAAATGTAACGTGCTTGAGTGTACTACACTGCACTCAGTAATACACAGCATATGCTGGCATTTTACTTTGGGGCTCTTTTCTTTCCCACCACACTTGACAGAGCCCTGTTCCCCCAGTGTGCACTCGTGCCAGGGAAGCCACGGCTTTTTGGCACGTGAAGTTGGAGCTGAGGGAAGGAAGGACTCAGGTTTTCAGCTCAGAGGCACTGAAAACACACTTTGGATCAAAATTATCCAGTGTACGGCTGAATGCCCTCAAAACATATTTGAATCAGCTTGTTACATTCTCATTCAGTTCCCCATGGAGATCAGGGCCCCATAGGCAGCCCCTGGTGCATGCCTAGGTACAGACCAGCCTCAGCTGTTGTGTTCTGCTTTGGCTTTTCATCAGCTTAGGGGAAAAGGTTTTTCCCTAATCTGTTTCACTGGTATCATGGTGTTGATTGAGGGAAGCTGAACTGCTCTAAGCTAATTCTGAATCAGAAATATTTCAAATCCTGGTAGAAGCACAGCAGCCTCATCCATTTCCAGACAGATTAGCCTGAGGACACTGAGGGATACCTGGATGCCTTTTGGTGTTTGTGATAATGCAAAAGGCCTTGCTCTTGCTCCAAAGACTGTCTTGACTGGGAGCATAACTGATGGAAAGGGAGTGGAAGGAGTTCACTCCTGTCACCATGTGACTGCAGAAGCCAGGATGCTCCTGAGTCCAGTGCTTACTGGACTGTTGCATCCTTCCAGGGTGATGAGGTATATAAGAGAGAGATTCACCTTCCTCCACAATGTGGTAGTTCATTTGGAATTTGTTTCCCATGCAAGCATCCCCTTCTCTGGCAATGTCTTAGTCACAGAGGGCCTCTGAAACTTCCCAGTGAGTTCAGCTGGCCTGCCCCATCCACAGTTTTTGGCTGGCCCACTGGCAAGTAGGGACAAGGAGCAGGGCTCAGTTGTCTTTTGAAAGGAAAGCCATGTAAGAATGAAATTACAGCTGAACCAGTTCAGAAAAACTTCTGGAAAAACACTTTTCATTCACTTTAGTGCAATATGTTCATTTTAACCCAGAACCCAGAGAACTTATGTCCCTTTTAGTCCTGTTCAGAATAATGGAAATCCTCAGATAATCCCTACAGAGCAAGAGAAAGTGAGGCTGCATTTGCTGAGAGATAATAGAGTGCCTTGGGTCACTCACATAAACCACATTCCTGCCAAATGCTTGGCAGGTAGTTTTTGTGAATTTTCTGTTCTTGGAGATAGTCAGTGTTTGACTGGACAAGGCCCAGAGCAATAGCATGCAAATTTGAGGTTGACCTTCCTTTCAGAGGGTTGGAGCACATCACCACTGATCCCTGCTAACCTAACCTGTTGTAGGATTTTGTGATGGGGTAAAAAGTTTACCAGAAGAAGCTCTGTTACCCAGGTTTTAAGGCAGGATAAATGCTTAGGTATCCTGGACAATCAATCATGCAGTCAGAAGAGAAGCTGCAAACTGACTCCCCAGCCAGTTCTGAACATGGACTTCTAGAGATGTCTCACTGTTGCTTGCAGTGTGGCTTTGGCATGCATTTAGAAGTGCAAGGTAGCATCCCATGTGTCTGCACCAGGAGAAATGCTAATTATCCTTTGAGCTGGGCAGTAAAGCTGGGCAATCCCTGCTCTTTTGCCCCATGCCTGACTTAATAAAATTACATCAGCTGTCTCACTGGAAATCATCAGGCTTCATCACTGTGCAGAGAAAGGACTCTGCTTCTTCGTCTGTGTTTGACATCCTGTTTTGAGGCTGCTGGCTGATTTACTGCCCTGGGTCAATGCAAGATCTCTGAGATCTTTAAAACTCAAGTTGGTGGGTTTGGAACAAAATATCCTCTTGTGGCAACCTCCTTTCCTTGGTAGAAGAAGCTCAGCTCCTGCTGGGTAAGGAGGCATGTTCAGAACTGTCTAAGGGCATAACTTGCTTGCAAAGCAAACTGCTTGCAGGCCAACAAAAGAGCAAGTCTAAACTTGCAGAGAAGTTGAGGCACAGCTTCTCTTTGATCAACAGAATGATCATATGGATGAGATTCTCTTTCTGCCTACTGCAGAGCTTCAGCTCACATTTCTGCCTACTGCAGAGCTTCAGCTCACAAGCAAGACCTTACCTGGTATTTCCAGCAGTGCCTGCTCTGTTGAAAGCAATGGTTGCTGAAGTCAGGGCATCAGCACAAACTGGCTGTAACTGGCACAATAGTCTGTAACTCCACTGCCTCACTCTAAAGAAATCTCTAATGCAAAACTCTGTACCTACCCTGCAGGAGGGTGAGAGGAGAGAGGTGCTGTTTACTGTCCTTCTGAAGGTGTTGACTAAGCAGGCTTTGTGAGGCACACAGGATTGACTTTGGCCTTCTGATTCCCTGCAGTGAGCAAGCATTGACACTCAGCTCCTGTGTACTGGCTTTCTGCATGCTGGAGTGGCTGTTCAGTAAGCAGAGCCCTGTTGGTCCTTCAGCAGCACGTGTTCAGTGCAGCCCTGTACCATCAAGGACTCCCTGATGCATTCCCCATCTCGTTCAGATCTGCAGCAGGGGCTAGAAGCAAAAAAAAAAAATGGACGTCTGAGAAACTACAGAGAAAAAGGTCCAGTAGTAAAAAATCAACAGAACAAAGCCCAGACCTCTTTGGCAGTAGTAGGCCCCAGGCAGCCACTGTATGGCATTCTGCTTGGAAACAATCAGAGGTCACAAAATTAGATCACGTTTCCAAGTGGAACACTGAACACCAGACCTCCAAGGCACACAGAAATGGAGCAGCCTACCTAGCTCCATGTGTCTGGTGATGCTGTGTTTGTATACCACTTCAAGCATGCCAAACAAACACCCAGTCAGTCACAAACCTACCCAGTCAGTTGGGGTGAGGAGGGCATTGGAGAGGGAGTGGGGCAGAGCTGTGGAAGAGCTTCTCCAGAGCAACACTGCCTTAACTGAACCAAGTTCACTGCCTGGATAGTCTTGTCTCTGACCTGCATTGCCTCTGAAATGCTCTGCCTGCACCTTGGCACACAGGTTAATACCAAATATCCCCACCCAGGTGACTTTGTTTTGTATCCCTCTACATACGCCTGTCAACATTGCCTCTTCATGCTTGTGCTTGCCCTCCTCTGCTGCCTTGTCCCCTCTGGGGCTCACAGGTGGCAACAGAGTGTCCAGAAAGCTGAAGGCAGCACTGCTTGCACCCTTCTGATCAGTTTGGGAGGAAGGAGTTCCTTGAGGAATTGTGTTGATTTGGCACAGCCTGATTTTTGGTAGCAGGGGAGGGCCACAGGGGTACCTTCTGTGAGAAGCTGCTGGAAGCTTCTACCATGTTCTGCAGAGCCAACCTCTGATGGCTCTGAAGATGGACATGCTGAGGGTGGTAACACCTCTGTGATGACATAGTTAAGAGGAAGATGAAAAGAGAGCAGTTTGTTCCCCAGGGGTGGGGAGGCCCCGTGGCTGCCACCATGCTGGCACAGCCTGTGGCAATACACTGTGGCTGAAAGGGTAGGGCTGGGCTGGCAGCTTCTCCTTCCCTGCACCCCACATGTGCAGAGATATGAGCCAAACAGAGAGACTGCAGATCACACCTTATGCACCTGTGGGACCTGCACACCTTGAGTTTATTTTTAACACCTCTCCACATGAGGAGAGGCGTTAAACAGCACCAGTGGCTGCCACTGCCCACACGATGGTGTCGGGACTGCCTGGCCAGCACAGAAACAGGATGGGCGATTCCCTGGCATGGAACCTAGATGAGATCAACTTCTCAGTGCTACAGGATCCTGCAGGAGTCTTTGAATTGGTGAGAGTTGTTGACAGTGGTACTACAAGTAGCAGTTTGTCTTCTAGTCAGAAAGGAGGAGGAAGTGAGGACATGTGAGCGAAAACATGGCAGCACCAAGGGCAGTGGAAACAAAGAGGGAGAAGGTGCTCCAAGCACCAGAGCTGAGATTCCTCTGCAGGCTGTGGTGAGGACCATGGGGAAGCTGCTGTGCCCCTGTAATGCATGAAGTCCACAGGGGATGCATAGATCCACTCACAGCCCGTGAGAGAAGCGCTCATGCTGGAGAGGGTGGATGCCAGAGCAAGCTGTGATGCAGTGGGAGACCCAAATAGAGCAAGAGGGCTCCTGTTTCAGAATAGAGAGACAGCCCTTGCTTCCAGACTAAAGCAGCCTGTCCTTAAAAGACTATACCCCGTGGACAAGTGACCCCTGCCACAACAGTTTTGGAGTGACTTCACCCATGGGAGAGACCCCATGGCAGAGGAAAGACTCCTTTCCCTGAGCAAACAGAAGATCTCAAGTGATGAACTGACCAAAACCCTCATACCCTGTCTCCCTCTGCTGTCAGTGGGAAGGAGGGAGGGCCTGGGGGAGGAAAAAGTATTTTAAAGGCTTATTTTACTTCTCATTATCCTCCTCTAACTCTGTTAATAATAAATTTACTTTATACCTTTAAATTTGAACCTGTTTTTCCCTTAGAGTGTTTTTTTCTCCCAATCCTTATGTCATCCCGTGAGCCCTTTGTTAATTTTTTTCTCCTCTTCTCTGCCCAACTGTAACAGAGCAGGGTGAGCAAACAGCTTTCATGGGTACCTGGAGTATTGCCAGTATGAAATGACAGCAGGAATAAATTGAGAAAACTAGCTTTAGATGCAGTTTATAAGACCTTTCAGTTTTAAATAAAAAGGAAAAGTGAATGTTTTGGGAAAGCAGCTTCATCCTTTAGTACAGGTCATTGGTTTTTTGGAGTCTTTCCAAAGATGCTTGGGCCTGAGAGGATAAGGGCTGAGAAATGTTATAAAAGAGGAGAGGCAAAGAAATCAGAGGAAAACAATGCTGAGATTTACTTTCTAAGAATTCAATCCTTGCAGTGGTCTTGGCAGGATACTTATGTGCATAATTAGGGTGGTATAATGGCAGTGGGAATAGAAACTACTTACAAAGCTAAAAGTTCTATATTAAAGCAGATAAGTTAAGAGTGCAAGTTGTGCTCAGACAGCTATCAGGCTAATAAGAGTCTAGAAGATGTGCTGGGTACTAAATAAATCAAGGAGAGTCACTTGACATTTTGTAGCTGGAAAAGAAGGGTTTCCCTTTAAAGAAGGGCTTCATATCCACATCCTTACAGACTTGAGTGATGCCACTGTACAGCTGAGCTCTCTCTAGAATTGCTGGCACTGAATTGCTTAGAGAGAGAACAAGGTTATTAGCTTCAGCAGGAAATGGAAATTTTATACATAATGTACATGTGGAATTGAATTGTCTGTAACATGAAGCTTTGGAGAGTACCCATGCAAAATGAGAAAATTATCCAAGTTTGAAATTGTCCTCAGTACCTTGGACTGTAATTCTGCAGCACGCTTGCCCCCTTGACCTTAACACATCAAAATCTGCAGAGATTGGCTCTATTAATTTAGGCTTAATGCAGGAGCTGAGTCTTCTTAGAAATGGTTATTGTTAAGGGGAGAAATAAGCTCTTCTCAAAGTGATGTAGGCCAGTAGCTTTCTTAAGTGCAGGTTTGAGGATGGCTCCCAGATCAGAAGTAGGGTTCAAGTGTGACAGACCTGTCAGGCACAGACTTACTGAGAGCTCCTCATTCACCAAATGAAAGCTTCAAGAGCTGGCTGAAGACAAGGCACACAGAGGCAAAGGGCAGCAATTGATGACACTGCTCAGTAGCAGAACTGTTTCTGTAGCTGGCCAGTCCATTGGAAACCTCTAGTGAGGACCATGCAGCCTTTTCCAGTATTCCAGGCAGCTGTTTGTGTTTCAGACAAGGGCTGATCTCATGAGTGATTGCTGCAGAGGAGAATTGGGCAGTCCTTGTTTTCTAGGATGCACCAGTCCTTGCTTTAGGGCTTGGGACGTGCTCAACAGAAGGAGATGATGTCCAGGGAACTGCAACAACCTTGCTGGTGCTTCCCAGTGGAAAGGAATTTAAAAAGAATAATAGAAGGAAATTTTAAAAAAGAGTCAAGTAGATGTCTGGATGTCCTAAGGATGCTGTTTCTCAGTGCTGATGGTGTGTCACTTTTTTAAAATCCAGTCCAAGCTAAGTGACCCAACCCTTTACCCCCTAAGCATGGGGAAGAGATGGAGAGGTGACAACTCAGTTCTGCTCTCTCACAACTACTATCTTCCCAAAGATGATTTTTTTTTCCCCTTTCACTGTTGAGCAAAAGTCACAGGTACAGTGTATGGATTTAGGTGGGTTTGTCTAAGTCTCATCTTTTGCTCCTTGCTGTGAAAATTCTATGTAGTTGGATATAAAAGAATTGTATATGAAATTGTAGGTATATTGTATATGAAAATATACAATATTACATATATATGTAATTGTATATGAAAATTGTATGTAATTGTATATAAAACTTTATGCAATTCTGTTCTCCAGGCCTTCCTGGGTCAGACCCTGCTGTTGTCTTGACCTGCCATCCACTCACAAGCAGCAGCAAGTTACAAGAAAAGGAAGCTGAGTCCCTGAGAAGCCTGTCTGTCAGGCTTATACCCTAGATGAGGGCCAGGCCAGACTTTTAGCTTCACTGAAGTAACAGAGCAAACATTTCTAGTGGATGCAACCTTTCTGTTCCTTCTGCAGGCATTGCTTTGCTGTATTTGCACCTGTTTGATGTGTATGGAGACCCAGCCTACCTTCAGGTGGCCCATGAGTACGTGAAGAAGAGCCTGAGGTGCCTGACCAGGAGATCCATCACGTTCCTGTGTGGTGATGCTGGGCCCCTGGCAGTGGCTGCTGTTGTGTACCACAAGCTGCAGAACCAGAAGCAGGCAGAAGACTGCATCATCCGGTAAAAGCCTTGCTTATGTCTCTGTCCTGACCTTCCTCTTGCTCACAGAGCTGCTCTGGGCTTGGATGAGGCACTCTCTGACAAATGTGATGACATTTTGTTGCAGTCTTGTGTGAGAAATAGTCCAGTAAGTTAGCAAGGCAGCACAAACTTTTCCTGCCCTGGTGAAAGAGGTGGTTTAAGGACAAAGATGTTTGCATGGCAGCCTGCAAGCCTCTATTGTTCAGCTGCTACTGCCATCTTAAAAATAATTCTGATAAACACAGGAAGAAAAAAGTGCCAAAATTAAAAACAAAAAAAAACCCAGAAGGTGGGGTTTGGTGGTTTTTGAGAACATTTTAATTTAGCTTTGCAGTCATTTTGATGAAAAGGAAAAATGTGGTAAGATTATTAGATTTAATTTTGGTACTTGCTTCCACTTGCTGTTTATTAGTTGTCTTTGACTTAAACCTAAGATTGACAGCATCCCTTTCAACTGCAGAATGCAGCTGGTTATGATTCATTTATTTCTATTTCCTGCCTTTCCTCGACTGTTTTCAGATGCATTTTTGTTGGGTACTTAAGACAAGAAAAGGACAAACAAGCTGTCATAGATCAGCATGTGGCAGAGGAAGGAAAATAGTTAAGGAGATGTATTTGCAAGCATTTCTCAGTTAAGGGAGATGGGTTTAAGAAGGTGAGAAACAGCCCTGTAGAGAGTTTCCACTTCTACCTGATCAGCACAAAGAAAGACAAAACCCCTGATGCTTCAGAGCACTGACTGCCCTTAAACAGCCATGAGAAAGTGATGCATAATAGCAATTAAAAAAAGCCACAGGTGGGAATCAGAGGTGTCTGTATGGTTTGGACACCAAGTTCCACTCCCTTAACTAAGAATAGCTTCTGGTTTATGCAGAGACAATCACATATGTAGATACAATGTCCTCTGTCTGAGGCCAGAACTCTTTCTTTGTTCTGGTAATAATCTGTGGGTTAGATTTTACTTTGACAGAGTGGTAAGTCTCACTGAGATGAACATATTTGTTAACAAAAAGGGAATTAATCTATCAAACAGTACTGGTCAGTTGTGGTCAGTGCATAAGTCCCAGGTTGTAAAAACAGTCCCTGATTCATGTTTTCTTGCTGAGGTCTCCCCTCCCCATATCCCTCTTGTTCTGCCTGTGGTTTGGTGGCAGAATGGAATCTCGTGATTGATTTTGCACTGCCATCTAATGGTATAATAAAGTCAGAACACTGGAAATTGGTTTCTTCATACACCTGCAAGAGGAAAACAGAAGAATGTGGCTTTCTCAAATGTACAGTTCTACTGTCCTTACTCTGCCACCAATTCCCAGAGCAGTTAGCCTGACCATGCTCCTTTAAAATAGAGTATTTCTTTGAGAAGTAGCTCCCTAAATCAAAACTCTTAAATGGTTTTTGAGTATGCTGTTTAGTTACAGAGCAATTGCTAAGCTGTGCAGTGCAAGTGCACAGAAAGAGCACTTTCATCAGAGCTCTTGGAGGAGAAGGGCCTCTCTGCATTTTGTCCTCTATCTTTTAAAGCACCTCATCTTTACAGAGCCAGTGGAGAGAATCCATCAGCCAGGTTTTACCTACAGTGGAACAGAGAGAAGCTTGCTTTTTCCTAAATGAGTTCATGACCAAAAAATATGCTTTTATGCTCTAGAGACACTAATGTTTCAGGGCAGCCCATTTTCCAAGAGCCTGTGAAAATCTGAGCCATGTTCTAGGAGCCCTCCTTTTCCTGGCACTTCCCACCAATTCAGAAGGTCAAAGCTTTGCTTTCAGAGCCAATGGTGTACAAAAATCCCATTTTGCTCTACAGCTGCCTTGATTTCCCTCTGTCTAGAAACTGCTGATTGTTGACAGTTGAGGTGATAGGCTGATGAGGTGAATAGGAGTGGCTCTTTCTTTCAGAGACCACAACTTAGCCCACACACCTGAGAAATGCATTCTGCATGCAATCAGTCCAGCAGCATCCCAGGCATCTCTTTCTGAATGCATGACCATGTTTCAAAAACAGCAGAAACTCCTGGCAGGCTTCCTCTCCTGATGATCCTGCTGGAAAAGCAGTTAGAGGTAAAGCAGTAATGCACAAAGAACAAGTGGTCCAGTTGCTCAAGATTTCCCCATAAAAAGAAGATATCACATTCAGAACTGAGAAAATCCCTAACATTGGTATTAAAATTACACATCCATCCATTCCTTCTTTGTCACCTGACATTTCCTGACATCTCAGAGCTTAACATCATCACCAGCCAGCTTCCCTTCTGGCCAGCCTGCTGCTAGGCAGAGTCTATTTGTCCAGATAGCTGCTTGGAAACCCTCTTCATCTGCCTTGCTTAGACTCTGCAACAGGTGCCACAAGGCCTTTCCTTTCAGCTCCTGCAGCTGAGAGAAGAACCCATGCCTTGAGTGTAAAGTCTGTCTCTTGGGTTTAAAGAAACTTCCTCCATGGAGCAGTCCACATGTCAAGTGGTACAAGAGCCCATCCACCTTGAGACACTGCTCCCTTCTTTCTCCTTCAAAATCCCTGCTCACTTTGAGTCCAGTGCCAAGGGGATAAAAGTCTCCTGCCATGAGGAGTAACAGCCCAGCATCCTCTCTACTTGAGGCATTTGGTTCCTTCTTTGCAACTCAGTGTTGCAAAGTCCCTGGAGCCCAGGGAGCCAAGGCTGTCAAGGCACTTTTTCTGTTCTTCACACTGCTGTGGCAGGGAACATCAGCACACACAAAGCTTTTCCTGGCTGGTTTCACAGCTGGAAACAGTCAGGGAATAGCCTTAAAGCCACTTATGCTGATATTTTAGAAGTGATGGCACTTTTCAGATTGCTGCCTTACAGGTGAACAGAAAGATAAAGCCAAATCCAAACACACTGCTACCTGCTGCCCTGACAGGAAAGGACATCCAGTCTTTCTGGAAGTGTGATGAGAGGCAAAACAAAGGAAAAATTGCATCAAGGGTGAATTGGGCTACAAAGCACCAGTGTGAAGTGCTGTCAATCTCTGTTAGCACCACAGGAACATCACCATCTTTGCAATATCATAATACAAAAGTGGCAAAGAAAATAGTTGACTGCAGCAGACCTCACTCTGCACTTGTGGGCTAAAGCCTGGTGCCAGGCAAGCTGTCCTCAGCCAGCCTCAGCACTCCCACTTTGCTAAGCTGTCCTCACTGCTGCTCAGTTCTCCCTAGAGGATATTTCTTCCATGTGCCACAGCAGCTTGATGTTAAACAACATGTGTAGCTCCACCTCTTAAATTTTTAGCTCATGGAGACACCTCTTTCTCACCTGACAGCATAGCCCAGGCTATTTGTAGCATGGAGAGGAAGGGGCTTCTCTATCAGGACTTGAGAGCATTAGGGGTGAGATTTTTCCACATACCATTAGCACTAGTTTGACTTTCAAATATTACTTAGGCAGCCAAATTAAAAGGATAGCCCTATAATTTGAAAGTGGTGATTTTTGGCAGAGTGTCCCCCTTGCCAGTAACATCACAAGGAGATAATGGTGGGCAGTCTTTCCTGAGCACTCAGCAGCTTTATGCTGACCATTTCTTTCAGCCCAGGTTTCCCCCTCCTGTAGCTTTCCAAGCTGGTGCTCTAAAACCCAAGCACATAGTATGAGTGCATTGTGAACAGCAGAGCAGACTGAAGCAATCAGCCAAACAAAAGGCAGAAGGGGAGAGGTGATTCCACACCTCGTGCAGTGGAAGGCTGAGAGCCAGAGCCTGGCCTGACAGCTCCTAGGGCACAGCAGTGTGGGATTCACATTCTCTGAAGCTGAGAGGAGCAATGAGAGAAGCAGAGAAAAGAATGATCAAAACAATTCTTAGGTCATTTGCAGTGCCTGTGTTGTGCCAAAGCAGAATGCAATATGGAGATTGTTTACCCAGAGTGATGGTGATTTGTTTCCTTGGCCTATCAGGGACAAGCGTGTGTCCAGACTGTCAGTCCACAGGCAGTCACCAGATTCTGGGCAGTTGAGTTGAGTTGGGTGCTTGTGCAGATTCAGTTTAGATGTAATGTAATAGAGTGTAACATAGTGCAGAATAATATAGTATAATAAAGTAATTAATTAGCCTTCTGACAAGATGGAGTCCTTGTCTTTCTCCCTGCCACAAGGGTCACTTTGATTTCCAATACAGCAGCATGAAGGAACAAACCATGGGTTTGAGTTTTGAGCTCCAGCCTTAGTGCTTGTCTATGGCTTTGAGTGCAATGTTTGAGTGCATTTCCCTCTCATCTCCCCCATGGGGATGTTCCATTGCAGTTTGCTGCACCTGCACAAGGCTGACCCCCGAGTGCCAGATGAGCTCCTCTACGGGCGCATGGGCTATCTCTCTGCACTGATATTTGTCAACAAGCACTTCGGAGAGGAAAAGATCCCTCAGAGTCACATTCAGCAGGTACTGTACCTTTTGCTGATTTCTTGTCTGTCTCTTCCCATGCAGCTCATCTTGGGGCAGGTAAAAATCAATGCTAGATGTAAAGAACTCTGGCAGTAAGGGAGAAACCACATCATGGTATACCTGCTTTTCTTTCAAAGGGACAAAGCAGTGCTGTCCATGTAAATCCATAGGCAGTACTGGACTGGCATACATTTCATTCCACCCTCTGCTTGGGCAGAAAAACAAATCTTGTTCTGTGTCAGAATACTCTCTGTGCTGTGTCCAGGGCAGCAACATTTCCCTCACCCACATTTGTTCTCATCCCTTCACAGGTTTGTGAAGCAGTTGTAGCCTCAGGAGAGAACTTAGCCAAAAAGAGGAACTTCACAGCAAAGAGCCCACTGATGTTTGAGTGGTACCAGGAGTACTATGTAGGAGCAGCCCATGGTTTGGCTGGGATCTACTACTATCTCATGCAAGTAAGAAACTTGAGGGGATGGGCCCTTAGCACTGTTTCACATTTCTTTGAACAAGGAACAGCATTTGAATTGGCTCTTGGTAATGTCAAACTGGGAAAGATATCTTGTCTGATGGACCTAGCCATGTGATTATCATGCATTTCCAATTGTAAAGGTTTTCTTCAAATCTAAGATTGAATCTCTGACCTTGGAGATCTGTGGAGAAACATGACCTGCATTAACCAGCAGTGTCACATAATGGAGGCCTGTAGCTCAGCTGGGTCTGAGTTTCTCCCTTATGTTAATGTAAATTGCTTCTAAATTATTCACATTTGTTGGTATCTCTTGGCTCCCTGCATTTTCTGAGGTGGTTACTTGGAGCAGTGTCAGATCGTTAGAGTCAGAATCTCTGAGAGTAAAGCATGGTGAAAAAAATTGTGCTCATAGTAGGAAAGTGGGAAATGCCTTTGTATCCAAAGCAGAACCTGCTTCTAAGTTTGAAAGAGGTGGGACTTTGATAAAGAAACTGAGTTCTGCAGTGCCTGAAGCAGGCAGAGCAAGATAAGAAGCTGGGAGATGCAGTACCCCTTTGCTTTGATGCTTTCTCACTATTTTGCACAACTCACTGAGCTCTGTCAATATTCCCTGTACTGGCTCTGAAAAAAATGAGGGTGATAATTCCCCTATGTGGGTCCCTTTGTGCATATATTTATAGTGCTCAAGCACTCAGAAAAATAACAGCAAAAAATAACATTGAATCTTAAAGCATTAAGAGCACCCATGAGCAACACAAATTATTTTGGTGTAGAAATAGTCTGTAATATTTTATTAGACATAACTCTGAGAGCAGGTGGAAAAGGAAGCCACCAGCTTTCAAGGATTTGAGCTTTCCTTCAGTCAAAGTTAAAGTCCATATACAGGATCAGTAGAAGTCCTGTGAATATAACTTTTCTGTTGCTCAGAGAGGAAGAGGTGGTTGGTGGTTTTTAAGAAGATTAGATTTAGAAGATTTGGCAGGAGGGGGATGCAAGGTGGTTATTGCCCAGAAGCACAGAATAGCAAGCTAAGAGCAGGGGAGACAGCAATGTGCTGTGAGCCTAAATTTGTACCAAGTCCCTGAGCTTGTTCCCAAGTGGCTGTTTAAATTTTAGTCTCCCAAAAAATACTGCATGGGCTTTATGCTTCTCTGCTATATGAAGTAAAAGGAGCCTGGATCAGCCAAGTATGATGCACAAAAAGCCTTGGAAGAAGCAAGAATGTGAAATATGGAGAGGAAAACATCTTTTATCTCTAATGGTTTTACAGCACAAGTATTGATTTTTCATTTTCCAGTTCCCAGCCTGAGAACAGTGTGATCCTTAGATGAGAGTGTTCATTGCAGTCTGCCATGGGAAATTAAAGCTGCACAGATTTCATGTGGGGCAGTGTCTTTGGGACACTGAAGCCACTCCCTTGCATTCATCTGAGGTCAGCAGTGAAGTCAGCCTCTTGAAATCACCCAGCAGCATCTGTGAAGATTCAGAATTGCAGCCTGCCAGCTGGGCTGGCCCAGCAGCTAAGGGCTGAGATGCTCTAGGTGCAAGGAATCATCCTTAATACTGATTTTAGACTGTTATTGCTTTACTTTAGCTCTGGGTACCTGAAGCTATTTCTGCTCATCTTTAGGAAAAGCAGCAGCAAGCTCTCTTGCTTAGAGGACCAGGTGACATGCTAGGAACAGTCTTTGTTTCTGGGATGCAGGGTAGGACTGGAAATAAGTTCTTGCCAAAAGGCAGAACAACCAGTGACTGAGTAGGTAATTGTGAAGTATGAAAGGCCAAACCAAAGAAATTACTTAATTTACAAGGAGCAAGAGGGAATGTAGCCATAGTTGGCTTTGTTTCCACCTTTTGGGCAGACCTTGGGTCTCTTAGGGACAGACAGAATGGCAATTCTCCCTGATTTAAATGTTTTCTGTCTCTTAGCCTGGCTTTGGAGTGAGCCAAGTAAAGCTGCACAACACAGTGAAGCCCAGTGTGGACTATGTCTGCCAGCTCAAGTTCCCATCTGGCAATTACCCTCCCTGCATCGGTGACACCAGAGACCTCCTCGTGCACTGGTGCCATGGAGCACCAGGTGTAATCTACATGCTTCTCCAGGCATACAAGGTACCAAACACCTTGCAAAGACCCTTCAGAGACCCCTACATGTGAAACTTCCTCTGCAGCAGATGCTGGGACACCCCCTTTGCTTGGAAGTAGGATGGCTTGTTACAGTGAAATCACCCCACACTAACCTCTGATATAGAAATTAATCTTTTAAGAAAACATTTCTGAAAATACCCATCAGTTGTGTGGGCTGCCCTGTTGCAGGTGATGGATGGTCACAACTAGTTGTATGTGAAGTAATGGTCTTACATCCCCACTCATGATATCAAAAATACCCTCCTTAAAAAGTAAACAGCAGAGTCACTTCAGCAGGACACCCAAGCCTCTGCATCCCACAGGGATGCTCTTTGTTTGGAGGACATTGCCTCAGCAAGCACAACAGTTTCTTGTCTCCACAGGTCTTTGGGGAGCAGCAGTACCTGAATGATGCCCTGCAGTGTGCAGAAGTGATCTGGCAGTATGGGTTACTGAAGAAAGGCTACGGGCTGTGCCATGGCACAGCTGGCAATGCTTATGCCTTCCTGGCACTGTACAACCTCACTCAGAACATGAAATACCTCTACAGGGCCTGCAAGGTAAGAGTGTGTGTGCCTTCTACATCACTGCCTTTGCCTTTGCAACCCAATTTCTAGTGGGGCAGGCATGCAGCTAGATCTGACCAGCTGCACCAGAGTAATCCTTCAACAGTGCAGTCACTGTCTTACAGCCTGTACAGAAGGGATTTCCCTCAGAAGCCTTGCTCTGCAAGGGGTAGTGTGGGGACAAGGGATAGAATTTTCTTCTCAAGACTTGCCTTTAATGAAATTTGGACGCTTTTTGTACCTCTCTTCTCAGTTTGCAGAGTGGTGTTTAAGCTATGGGCAGCATGGGTGCCGGACTCCAGACACACCATTCTCTCTCTTTGAAGGTAATCTCAGTCTATATCCTTGTGTTTTGCTCCTGGATCTAAGCTGTTCTAGCACCAAGGAAAACAGAATACAAGCTTTGCAAAACTCAGTGTAGAGGATGGAAAGAAAATTGTGCCCACTGGGTTTTTCTACCCTTGCCCAGAAGCAGTCTCCCTGTAGCACAGGATAATGTCTTGGGTGGAGCATCTTGTCTGTCCTCTCAGGCCTCCCACACAGATTTACACACAGATCTCAAGGAGAGTTCTTTCATGGCTCCTTTTGGGTATTTGTAGCCAGGCTTCTCTCTTTTCTGTACATTTTTAAGGATTGAAATCCTTCATGAGTTTGATTCTAAAGGTGAGGAACAAATGGAGCTGCTGTTATGGGCCTTGGTGGCTCCTGTGGCACTTTGTGCCTCCTGCTAACAGCTCCCCCCAAATGTGCCATCAGCAGGTATTTGCTGAAGGAGCCAGCCCCCCAGCTCGCCCTGATCTCCCCAGGCTGCTGCAGGCCAAGGGACAGGAAAAGTTCTATCAGTCAGGACCTTGGGCAGCAGTGTCTCAAGGACTTTGTCAAGAGTTTGACAAAGCTGCCCAGTGTTGAGCTTGTGGATGGGTAAAGCAGAAGGGAGGGAGCTGGAGTGGAGAAAAGACCCATAGCATTTTGCCAGGTGTTTTTCAACATTTGATTAACTTCAAAATGCTTTTCCACACTGAGGTACCAAAGTTGCTTGGGAAACCTGGGCTCAGACCTTGAAAAGTATTTAGGACCTTTTCTCCTGTCTTCATAACTCATTCCCTCCCTGGATAACTGAGAAAAACGGTGGCTAAAGGGAATTTCTCTGAAGCACAGTGTGTTTTTTTTCATCCTCAGGAATGGCTGGAACAATTTACTTTCTTGCTGACCTGCTGGTGCCTACCAAGGCCAAGTTCCCTGCATTTGAACTCTGAATCTGAATCCTGCTTGGCAGTTTGCTGCCCTTTGTCCTTCTGCACTTGGAAATGCAGTTCAAGGCTGCTTTTTCCTTTTTCCAGACTCACTGTTGTTCGCCTAACTGAACGTAAATCCATCCTCCTGGGGGCATGCTGAGTTCTCTGACATTTCTAGTTATCTCATTACATTGTTTAGTTTAAAAGACAGAATGCAGATTTTGCTGGTGTCCCTTAAAAACTCAGGGCTGCAGGTGGGAGCAGGGAGAACTGTAGAGTATTTTGTTGGCTACAGAGTTTTGCTATTTCCTGTATCCCATTTCCTGGGAAGAAGTTTTCTATTGAATGTAACCTGGGCTATTTATCTTCTTTTTGTGCTAACAAATAGTTGCAGGAATTTAGCTGCCTTTGGAGAACAACAGATGGAAAACTGAGACTATTGCCCTGGAAGCTGTTTTCAAGTGTTTTCTTTCTGAGCACCCAGAGAGCAGATGGTTCAGTGTCTGGGCTGTGCCACGTGAAGTGAATGTGATGGACTGTGGAGTCTTAGGTATATTTTTAATATCATATTGCAACTGGCAGAGCTGGGACTGACATGCCAAAGGCTTGTCCTGAGTTTGCACCTATCTGCTCTAAAGGCAAAGGCTATGTATAGCTCTTCTGTGCATTTGTTCCAGTGACAGACAAGTAATCCACTGCCATCTTACATTAAACCTTGCTATTCCATTGGTCATCCAATGGCAAACTCCAGTCCAAAAGTGAGCTAAGCATGCTTGCTTTTGTGGTCTCTTCTTGTTAGCTTTGAGTGTTTATTTTGCAGTCTTTATTTAAATGTGTGTATTAGGTGGTGCCAGGAGCCCACCAGCAGGAACAAGGGAAAAGAAATGTAAGCCACTGAGATCTGACAGTGTTTAAGCTATTGGCTGTATGGATGTTATTTACATGTTTTCTTTTATAAGCTTTCCCAAACCTGGATAATTTGAGTCACTTGTTTGCCTTGCTACTGCTTGTTGTAGTTTGATTTGCAACCACTCATCTACCCAGCTGGAAAATCTGCACTAGCTTAACTGGCTTTGATGTGTCAGGCAGATCAGGTACTTGCAGGGAGTGGATGTGCTTTTCCATCCTTAGCTGATGCTGCACCAGTTCACAGAAATTTGGAGCCTGGCTCTGTAAACCACTTTCTTAGCACTGAGCATGAGCTAAACACTGAGCTCAGGGAAGTTTACAGATGCAGCCACACAGCTTTGTGCTCTTTGAGAGCAGCTCCTCAGCCTGCCCAATGTGGCTGTGGGTCTTCATCTTTCAAGGGCTGAGCTGCTGAGGGCCTCAAGTCCCAGAAGGGTAGGGGAGAAATAGCAGGGCAGCACAGCCACTCTCCTGGGCCAGCAGTGGCAAATCAGGGCCACCAAAGCTGGCAGGGTTACACTCACACGTGCCTGAATGCAGGGCAGCTTAGCCCCAGTGGCACAGGGAGCTCCACGAGAACCTCCTGGGTAGGCAAGGAGCAGAAACCAGCCCTGGAATGCTGATTTGTTTCCTCAAAGCCCACACTCCTGCTGCCCTCATAGGTTTCTGAAAGTCCATCAGAAGACAGCCTGAACTGCAGAAAAGCTCATCTCCTTGAGCGTGGGCATCCCTGTCAGAAGGCTCAGGCTCATGTGGACACAGCAGCAAGCATCCCCTGTCTTTCACAGGACCTGAGCAGCACAGGGAGCTGACTGGGAAGCAGAGAGGAGTTGCCTAATCAAACAGCACTTGAAGTTACCTCCCAGCTTGGCTGGTGTGCTGGCAGTACAGGGACACTGCTCTGAGCCTGGGTTTCTCCTGGGCACCACTTCTGTAAAAGGAGATGGTTTGTGCAGCCTGGGTCATAGTGGCATGAGAGCATAATGTCCCAAGGTTTGTGCACTGATCAGGGGAGCATCAGGGCCATGTGTACAACTGTTGAGTGGAGCACTTGTCTAATAAAAATGCTGAAACAACCAAGCTTTGGGTTATTTCTACCCCTTGCTTTGTGACCAGGATTCATGTCTGAAGGGATCAACATGTCCCACAACAGCTGTGCTCTGCTGGGAGCTCCTGGAGGTTCAGTGGCCTTCCACCCACCTTGAGTGTTAAGTATATTTCACTTTTTTCCCTCATCTCCAGTCCATCAAGGCCAGTCCTGGGCTTTCCCTTGCAGGCTGTGCTTTCCTCCCAGGGCATCCTTTTGCACTGGTGTCTCCATCCAAGGCTGTACCCTGCCTCTGTGGCTTCCATTGGAGACCAGAGTCCTGCAGGTTACTGTTGGTTGCACCAAAATACACCTGTTTGCAGTGCTGACCACCAAAAGGAAGAGGTGGATCCTCCTAAAAAAGCACCTCCTGCTCAGTGAAAGGAGGAACAGAGCACCTCAAGGAGGCTGTGACTGTCTAGCAGCAGAGGCTAATTTAAGACCAAGCTGTCAGGAGTGGGATGGATAGAGGTGATCCTGCCCTCCAGCACAAGCATATATTAAGTTGCTTGAGATCCTACACAACCTGGTTTTCTATAGTTTCTATTAAGTTTTGTGGTAAAGGTCTTGAGAAAGGGAGTCAAGCAGTGAGGATGAGGAAAGAGCATAGTGCAGTTTCTCTGGTTACCCTTTCTCATACAGAGGTTTGGTGTGGTGCTGCCCATTTCCACTCACCTTTGTGCCAAGGGGAGGGAGCAGGACCAAGTTTGAAAACTCAACTGGTCCTGTTTCAACAAGCCACCTGAGAGGGACTTTATCAGAAGTGTAGAGATATTTGACACTTGTTGCTGGTTGTGTTCATCCATGGTGGTGATCTGTTTAAAAAAAACAAAAATAAAAAACATATAAAATAACCTATATTCCCAAGAAACAAGTAAAAACATATTTTGAATGCTTTATCATCTGTTTGTGTTCACCTCTTGTATATGCAAGTGTGATCAGCAAGATGAAAAACATCCCCAAGACTGTTAACCAAATGCCATGTGTATGTGTGCATGTCCCATGAGAGCCCAGCGTGGTTTCAGCTCTCAGGAGCTGACAGCAGCCTCAGCTATCAAAGATGTGACAGAGAGGCAGTGCAAGAGAGCAACAGATAGTGCTGTGTCTGCCTGAATTACTTCATTTCTCATTCCTACATATTAACTTTTTAAATGCCCACTAACAGCTATCAGCACGGACACTAAATCAGTGACTAACGTTATTTAAAGATTTTGCCAAAAAATCCTGCCATGAGCTGTCCTCAGCCCCTGTGGCCTTAGCAGTCAGACACACTGAGCTGATAAATCCATTTATGAACTCCCACTGCAGGGATTTGATGCACCCTTTGAAACCACTTTGGAGCAGGCTGCTGGCTTGTCTTGGCAGATGCTCTCCTAGAGTTAATAGGGGAAAAGCACAGCAGAAGAGATCTCAGCCTCCACAAACTCCAGCTCATTGACCTGCCCCAGAACTGACTGCTTCTACCTGACAGGCTTGGAGCTGAGCCAGGTGGAGAGTAAGGGTGGCACATCCCACATCCAGTACACAAAAGCAGCTCTGGGAGAAGCAGCCAGTGGGCCCCAAAGCTGCTGGCTTACCTGAGTTATCCAGCCAGACCTCCCTGCACCACTATCTAATCTTTCTTAATTCCCCTTTTTTTTTTTTGTCCCTGTTTTTGCACCTCAGTGTAATAGCTTGGCCAAATCTGAGTGGGATTCTTTGATGGCAACACCCAAGGGAACATGTCTGGGTCCCAACAAGTCCAGAAGTCCTGCTCCAGGCCAGTTCCCAGCACATACAGATAACTTGCAGCAAGTTTTTGGCCTTTTTTAAAATACATATTACTTTTATCACATTGAGAAGAACAACACAGGTTCTTCACCTGTTCCTGCCCAGAAGGTCCAAATCCTTTGGCCAAAGTGTCCCCTGCATTCCTTTGGCTGCACCTGTGAAAGAAACCTGAAGCCCCAAGTTACAACTTGCTCGTTATTCATGCCTGAAGACAAACTCCAGCAAACCAAGAGGCAGCAGATCAGCTCAAAATAAGCACCTGAGGAAAAAGGCTGGAGCCCAGCCAGACCCACCCCTGTAGGGTGCTAGCCTGTGGACTATCAATGCAGGCCAACCCCAGTGTAGGGAATAATGTGCTCCATGATTCAGAAAGGCTGAAAAAATGGTTTATTAAGCTATATTATATTACACTAATGCTATACTAAATTCCATACTAAAAATATACTAAAGAAAAATCCGTGACTGTCTCCAGACAGTCAGACACAGCTTTGCACATTCTACATGTGCAAAACAACAAGAGTAGTGAATAGAGATAAGAATTGTTTTCCCTTATCTCTGAGGTTCTCACTACCTTCCCCAAGAAAAATCTTAGGAGAGAGAATTATGTCTCTGTTCAGAGGATGTGAATGCCCCAGGGGACCCCTCGCAGAAGGGCGTTGGTGTCCCCAGCAGGTGGCAATGCAGCCTGACAGCAGCGGCCACCCTGTCACTTGTAGCACACACCGCACTGCTCAGCTGCTCGCTCCTACCTCGGGAGAGCTCGGGTTCGGCTCCTGGGAAAGGCACTCACAAAAAAGCCCACACGAGAGAGGCTGTATCTGTGTACTGTATTTGTGCACTGTGGGGGATGAGACGTGTGAGAATCAGGAAAGCCCTTCCAAAATGCACGGCCTCTGAGTCATATACACCCCTGGGAAGAAGAAAAAAACAATTAGGAAATCTTTCCCAGTCCTGCCTGAAGCCACATAAGCTTCCCATTGGGGAGGACAGCTCATGCTCAGGTGATCAAGGAAACCTGCACATACTGAGTGACAATACTTTATCTCCCCACATCAGCTTTACAGACATTACACAAGCCCTGCCACCAACTCCCAGCCTGCAGGGAATAGAGAGCCAAATAGTCCCTTTTCCACAGGTTGCCCTTCACTCTGAAGTCTGCTGCACCAAACATACCTCCCCTTAGAATGCCAAAGGGACTGGGACATCCCAGAAGGGCAAGAGCATCAAGAAAATCCAACTGGACATATGTGTAATGGCACCAAGGCTCACCATTGGGGTATTTGTCAAGGGGAAAACCCAGCTAAGGTAGAGCTGAAACTCCTGTAAATGGGCTTGCAGTGCTATCTCTCTGCCCAACAGGCCAGAATTTTGGTACAGAGTTTGGCACAGTGGTGCCAGAGAGTTTCCTTACAGGGGACAGGCAAAGCAGCCCTTAATTGCAGGGGTTTCCTCTATTCCCAGAAGAGATTTGGAACAGTTTTCTCTGTAAATGAGGTGTTCCACCTCTATGTGACACTCCCAGTAGTGGATAGCAAGGGATTGATCAGAGCAACCTCGGTCCCCCTTCAGCTGCTGCTTGCCTTGGCAAAAGGTATTTTTTACCTTTATGTGGGCCAGTTCTGGAGCTGCAACTGATTGAAGGCAGTTTAGGATCCAGCCCCTCTGCAACAGCTGAACACAGGAGTCAGGGGAATTATTTAACTTCAAACAGTTGGTCAAATTTCAGATATAGCTAATAAACTTCTTTGTGCCTGACCTTAAAAGCAAGACTTGGTTGGATCCCAGCAATATCTGACAGATAGATTTTTTGCTTCTTTTGCTTCTTTTTTTTTATTATTTGTTTGGGTTGGGGGTGGGGAGAGGGTTTGGTTGTGGGTTTTTAAAAGAACAAGCAAACTCTTCCAAGAGTGAGAATGCCACTCATCAAACATCCCCTTACCATGAACTGGAAACAGATACATCAGCACTCTCCCTTTAGGACAAATGTATTTACATTCCTTCTACACTCCCTGTCTTTGCCAAAGATTACAATATATCACAACATACCAGCTGGGCTTCAGAGAGCTCCTTCCCAGCTCTGGAGGAAGGATCAGGGATGTTGCTTGGCTTGGGGAATGCTCTGCAAGCCCATAAAGGCTGCTGGCACTACTGCAAACATGGCATCTGGAGTCTGGGGATGAGCATTGCCCTTCACCCTCATGCCACCCCACTGGCACAATTAACCTTTCAAACAGGGGATGAGCACAAAGATCTCTGTCTCCTGGGTAGGTACAATGCATGGCAGCTCTGAGACCCAGAGAGAACTGGTGTATCTTTGAATCCTGCAGGATTTTTCCTGGGTCAGTATCAAACCCACTCCCTCAAAAGCAGAACAAAACAAAAATTCTCGATAGAGCTGCTGATTCAAGACAGTCTGCTATTGCCTCACCCACAAAGCTTTGTATTCCCAAGTGTTCCCCAAGCCAGCTGTCACCCTTAGCGTGGTGGTCCCTGCCACTCCCTTCTGCTGCTGACACTTCTGCTTTACCTCCCTACCTCAGTCACCCACTTGTTTCTCCCTCCATGCTGCCACTTTTGGGGAGCAAGGGTGGTAGCTTTTACTTTGGATCATTTCACAAATCCAGTGTACAGCAGCACAGCAAGGAGAAGGCAAAATGCAGTGTGAGGGGGAAGGCAAAACCAAGGAAACACAAGGAAACTGAACCCTTCCTTCCTTAATTCAAGGAAACCTGAACCCTCCTTCAGCTTACAGGAAGGAAGTCAGGACCTCCCAAGAACAACCCCATTCCCAGTATTTGGACCTTCTGGATGCTAAGAGTACCAGCAGCAAGGAAAGGAGAGAATAAAGTTCTTTTTCATGTATCCCTCAACTTCAGAGTCACAAAAGCCATTTGGTTTTGCCACCCTCTTTTCTGGACAGGACAACTTGCAGCCACCCTTCACCCTCAGATGCCCTGCAATGCCTTCATTTTCCCCAGAGGGTGAAAGATGATAAATTTGGCCAAAAAAGTACAATAGACCCTCTAATGACTGACCATGGGTATGACAGTACACTGCTCTGCTTGCTCTGTGTCAAGGAAGACAGAAATGGAGAAGGCACACAGGCAGCACTAAAACCAACTTGTAAGCCTTAAGAAGGGAAAAAAGAGCAGGACTGTGAGGAGCCATTTAACTCCATCTCCTCATGGCTGGGGAATTTCTTGCTAGCAGGACACGTGTCAGGCAGCCCTTGTGGAAAGCTCATTTTGCAGCAGTTGCAATTTGCTGCAGCATTTGCAGTGTTGGCAGGCTGTAATCGAATCCACTGGGAGGATTTTGCTTTCCATAAATCCCATTGGAGCCAGGCCCATAAATAGTTGCACTGTAGTGTAGAGCTGCATACAAGGCAAGAGCAAATGTTCCACATAATGACTGCTGGCCTTAATCACACTGAGGAGTGGATCATATTTCCACCATTTTGTCAAGTTTTATTATAGATCCTCCTCTTGAAGGATACCCCTAAGTGGTGAGGGGGAGACCACAGTGGTGCCAAACAGCTTCCTCACAGCAGACAGGCAAAGCAGCCTTTAATTGCAGGGGTTTCCCCTATTCACAGAAGAGATTTGGAACAGACAGTTTTCTTTGTAAATGAGGTGTTCTGCCTCCAACCTGACACTCCCAGTAGTGGACAGCAAGGGATTGATCAGATTTTTATGAGTGTCTGAAAAAATAAAGAGAGACACACACCTCCAGAGACAAACTTTAAGACACTCCAAGAAAATCACCATAAAATACAAACTTTGAATGGAATTATATCCTAAATCCAGGGATACCTTTGTTGGGAATTCAAAGCTCATTTATCACCGTGGGAAAGAGGACAAACCCCACCTGGGTGACAGCCACATCCAAAACCAGCACAGCAGTTCCCAGAATTGGGCTCACCACCCCATTAGACTGCAGTGTTAATACCTGCAAGCCTGACAAATTCATCTGCAAGAAGCTGGGCTCCAGACTGGAAGGGGGAAGTTGCCAGTGGAAGCTTTTGGGAAGCTCTGGTGGTTCATCATCACAGGGGATAAACTCCAAGGTGTTTATACCCCCCAAAGGCTGAGAAATACCCTGTTTCAGCAGGGC